AGCTCCCCCGAGAGCCGCCGGCACCCCGACAGGTCCGCACCCGGCACCGGGACGGGGGACACTGGGGTGACACGGGGACTGGAGGGCACCGGGATGGGGTGGCACTAGGATGGGGTGACACAAGGACGGGGTGGCACAGGGATGCAATGGGCCAGGGTGGCAGTGGGATGGGGTGACAAGGGGACAGGATGGAACAGGGATAGGCTGGAACTAGGACGGGGTGGCACCAGGATGGGGTGGCATGCGGACAGGGTGTCATTGGGGTGACACTGGGACTGGAGGGCACGGGGATGGGGCAGCGCAAGGACAAGGTGGCACTGGGACAGGGTGGCACAGGCCTGCAATGGGCCGGGCTGGCACTGGGATGGGGTGGCTCTAGGACGGGATGACATCACGGTGACATGGGGACTGGAGAGCACTGGGATGGGGCAGCACAAGGATGGGGTGGCACAAAGATGGGGTGGCACAGGGATGCAATGAGCCAGGGTGGTACTGGGATGGGGTGACACTGGGACTGGAGGGCCCTGGGATGATGTGGCACAGGGACAGAGTGGCAGTGGGATGGGGTGGCACACAAATGCAGTGGGCCAGGGTGGCATTAGGACAGGGTGGCACCAGGATGGGGTGACATGGGGACAGGGTGACATCATGGTGACAGGGGGACTGGAGAGCACTGGGATGGGGCAGCACAAGGATGGGGTGCACTAGGATGGAGTGGCAGCAGGACATGGTGGCACTGGGATTCAATGGGACAGGGTGGCACCAAGATGAGCTGGCACTGGGATGGGGTGGCAAAGGGACAGGGTGACATCATGGTGACACAGGGACTGGAGGGCACTGGGATGGGGCAGCATGTGAATGGGGTGGCATGTGGACAGGGTGGTACAGGGATGCAGTGGGACAGGGTGACACTGGGATGGGATGACACCGGGACAAAGTGGCACCAGGATAGTTGGCACAGGGCAAGGTGGGGACAGGACAGCATGGGGACGGGATGTCACAGGGACAGGGTCACCAGGAACCCAGTGGCCCAGGGGACAAGGTTGCAGGGGGATGCAGCGGGGTGGGGTGGCACTTGGGTGGCCTGGGCACAGGGTG